CCCCCACCCCCGGCCCCTCCCCCCCCGCCGCCGCCAGCCCCCCGCCCCGCGGAGCGCACATCGCCCGAGGGGTGCCCGGGTACCCGGAGCAGGCTCCCCTCGCCTCTGCAGGCCGGTGTGGGTCTGCAGCGAGCTGGGGGAGCTTTGCCGGCCCGCACCGGCTCTGCGACCCGGACCGGAGGGGCGGGAGTGGGGGGCCGGGGGCTCAGGGGCTCTCCCTCTCCTCGCCTCCCCTCCGGCAGCGCTTAACGCAGGGCTGGCAGGCGGGCAGAGCTGCCCGGCTGCACCTCGCTTTGCTCCCTGCGCGGCAGCGCTCCTTAGCCGGCAGCAAATGGCAGCGGGTAACTTTATGGCAGGGTAAGCGTGTCGGGACCTGGCTACCTGAGTAAGGAAACGGCTTAAAAGGGTTAGAGAAAAACTAGCGACAGAATCCCACCGGCTTGCAGTGATAAGAGTGAAGGTTTTTGCCTACTTCTTTGCATGTCACATAGCGCTCTCAACCTTGATCCAGATGAGGGCTTGCAGGGCTACCTTGCCCCGGAGGGCAGGTGAGCTCTGAATCCTTCCTAGCCACCCTGGTAAAGCTGTATCTGCCTATCACGGCCTCACTTCCCAGGGAAATGGAGCTGTTCTAGTCTTAAAAGGTTGCCAGCCCTCTCCTGATATTGGCAAATGCACCCCTGGATGAAAGGCGTAGAATGATGCTTCCATCAAACGTTTTGTCTGTTCATGCCCAGCCTGCTTGCCTGGATATAGCTTCCCTCTCCATTCAAGCACCCCGAGCTTCACAGCCAGCACAGCAAGTTACTGTAACTTCACAGCAGAACTCTCAACTCTCTTGTTTCCTTACTGTCCACTTCCAGTGTGGATAAGGCAAGGCAGATCCCTATGGGGTGAAACAGGTATTGTCCAGCATTGACAAGTGGCCAGCCTGTGAGGGAGGTTTTTGTGAGCGCTTTGTCTCTAGAGAGAATTTGCCAGCAACAGTGGGTGTTCAGAGCCAACCGAACTCATCTTGGAGTTAGAAAACAGTAAAACTATTTCTTATTTAAAAACCCCAAACCCAAGAACCCTTTGAACCCTTCTAGTCGAGACCAAAAGAGGTGTTTTCTTTTTCTTTTCATCTAAGGAAATAAGGCTGAAGGAATGACATTGAGATGTCTAAATAGTGTCTGGCTCTTCTGTAACTTTTGACTATATTCACCTATTTTAACCAAATGTGTCAGACAGATAAAGGTCTCAAAAGCTGTATGTACCATCAGTTTCATGAAAACTGGTGTTTTCATGTAACAGTGTGATTAACAGACTATACTAATTGGTCCTACGAGCGAATGGCTTCAGCTTGTGCTCAGTGTTTATTAGGCAGCAGAGAGCCCACAAAGCATTAACTCCTGCGGTACAAATCTGTAGAATAATTGGCTTAATCAGCTCTACTGTGCATGGAACAATTTGTTTCAAATTTTGAAATGAGATAAGGAAGGTGTTTGTAAGCCTCAGAGTAAGACCAGAAATGTCCCCTTCCCAAATTATGGCCCCCAAATGGCCCCTTCCCTCTCCTACTGTAGGATGAAAGGGGTTCATGTGTTCGGATGTGCCTCATGCACTAGTTTTCCCTGGGTTTCAGCCTTGCTGAGAGCAGGGTGAGCCATAGACAAGCTCTCAGAGCCAGAGTGCTGGAGGGGCAGTGGCAGGAGAGATTGGTTCCCCATTAGTGATGCTGAGAGCTGACCCGGTTGGTGCCTGTACTGCCACTCCATGGTGCTCAGCGCCTGTTGCTGATCACCAAGCAAGGGGCACAGGAACACCAAAGGAATTCTTGTGCTGGGAGGGGAGTTGTCATTCCACCTTGCGTTGGGGTGACAGAAGAACACTGAATGCTGGGGCTTCCCCTCTTCCTTGTTGTGCTGGATGCCCTTTCTTGGGCAGGAAGCAACTTTGGGACTCATGGACGTGTTAGTCATGGTTAAACTTTCTCTGCCCCTGATTTCAAGTGGTATGGGTTTGAAAGTCCCTCCCCCAGTCTCAGAAAGGACAGGATTGCATTCTCAGATCATAGAACAGTTCCATCTCTCACATGTTTTTTAGGGTAAAGCTTGCTTAAACTTTGTTGGTACAAGCTTGCAGAGACACTTCCCCTGCAGCTGTGCTGAGCGTTGTATGACTGCATTCAATTTCAGCCTCCCTTTCCAATACAAATGCACTGATACGTAGCTACGAGGCACAGATTTGCAGTGGGAAATCCTAGTGCCTTTCTCCCTCCTTTCCACTTGAGCACTGGTCAGTCTTGGGCATGTTCATGAGGCTCACCCTGCATCCCTCCTTCCTCCTCCCCCCGCAGATGGGAGCTTCTCCCATTTATTAACTCATAGATGATATCACTGTTTAGACTGCCATAAAACTGATAGAAAAAGTCCTCCAATTTTGTTAATTTATGGTCCAGATCCTGCTGTGAATCTGGAGGAACTCTGCTCCCACTGATGAATTCATCTCTGCCCATCTGCCTGTGGGATCTGATTCTGGCTCATCACTTGGTAGAGGCACTTGGAAAAAAGGGTTTTCCCTCCTGAGGACAGGGTAATTTCACAGTGTTGTCTGGGGTTATAAGTGCTAGAGACAGTCATTGGTAAATGTGCAATGTATGCAGATCAGCTGCACCTTGAAAAGCTGCCTCTTTTCTCACCTTCCTAGACGGCAGTTTAGGGATTCCAAGCCTTTCCCTGCTCTTTAGCTCTCCATCTGCCTGTAAGGGAACTGGGTTTGGATGCTGCAAGTGCTCCTGTATGGCTAAATAAACAGGGCGGCAGATTGCCACGTGGGATCTAAAGCTCTGTCAGATATAGATCTAACCATCTACAGCATGAGCCAGACCTTATGGGTTAGGTGTATGAATTGAATTCCTCCCAGAGGCTAAAAACTACTCCACTAGGAAGTTGTTTAAAATCTTAGGCAGGTCCTTCTAGATTTCCAGTCAAGGCTTCTGTGTTTGTATTTTAGCGTGCATGGAGCTTTGAAGCTTACACACAGCGTGAGGACCTTATTTATGTGCACTTGGTTGCCAGCAATTAAGCTCTCCCATGGAGAAATCAGGCAGCAGGACCGTGGTGAGCGCCAGGCTGCTTTTCTCACTTCTGCATGTATATACATGGCTGATTTTTAGCCTAGGGGGCTAAATTCTGTCCCTAGTGATGCCAGTGACAAAACCCTCATCCAGTCTGGTGGTCCCTGATTAGTATATGGAGAGCGCACTGCCTGATAACTCTCCTTGATTGCCGTTACTTTGCCACGGGCTGGGACTTCAAAAGACTCCAAATCTCTCCTGCAAAACCACTGTGATCTCGCATCTCCGAGTCGCACCTCCTTGCGCGAATATCTTGGCTGGGAGTAAAGGTTGGCTGTAGTGGGGAAAGGTCAGCCGCTGGGCCCTGGGAAAGCCTGAAAGACTCAGGGCTTTTCTGTAGCCAGTAAGTCCCCCGTGAAAAGCCTGCACCTGAGCCGAGCCGTTTTGATCTGAACTCTTTGGAATTCATCTCTTTCTTCTGGCTACCTTCTAATTTGGCCTCGGGTCAAAATCATTTGACGAGAACAACACTGGGGACAAGTGCCCCCTCTTTTGGCCTTTATCTTGTCTAATTACCAGGAGCATCCCTGCACAATGGAGTGGCTCCTTATGCTAATCTCTTCTTCTTTACTTATCTCTATTTTCTCGCCCTCTTCTTTTGTCTTCCAAAATCCCACGCACCATTATTGAAAGACTGGGTACTGGGGTAAAAGGATTGTGCTGTGAGCTGTGGGCAAATGCTCTCCCAAAACTACAGCTTTTCTATTGCTTTTTTTTCACCTGCCTAGTTGCAGGGAGTTTCTGTCAGCCCAGGTCTCTGTATCTGTGTTGCTGACCAGGAGCAAGAGGGAGTAACGTGTCCTTTCTCTCCCCATGTCCCGCAGAGAAACCCGTCAGCCTGACTTACCGATGCCCCTGTCGATTCTACGAGAGCAACGTGGCAAGAGCCAACATTAAGCACCTCAAAATCCTCTCCACACCCAACTGCTCACTTCAGATTGTGTAAGTCTCTTAGTCTTTTCAGCTGGGTGCAAGTCTCAGGTGTCAAAAACAAGAGTCACACAGCTGGTTCCAGCTTAGGTGGCTGCAATTCGGTCTGTGTCCTGCCATGATTTCCAATTCACCGCTTCACCCCATGTGTCAGATACAGCTGGACCCTGCTTTACCCCACACATAGAAGCCCAGCTAGATGTTTCCCAGCTGTGTTCTACCTCTGTGATCTCCCTGTGACTATGTGATCCCATGTCCCATTCCCCCATGGGTATGTGAGCAGGAATGTCAGATAGGCTGTCCATTGCCTTGGACGTGGAACTTGACACCTTGAGGAAAAGACTTTACAGTGGTCTGAGTCTTCTAATGCTCCACTTCTCTACAGAGAGGAGCTAAACAAGCAAAAGGAATTCCTGGATTTCGTGTTGCCTCCACAGGAGGTACAGACCCTAAACATGTGCTGGCCTGATCTAGGGACACACTTACCAGGCAGTGACTGACTCCGGTAACTCACAGGTCACAGCAGGACAGAAATTATGGGTTTCTAATGGAAAATAACTCTTCATTTTTGCTGAAAAAGAAACACTGATTTTCAGGAAAAATGGGATTGTAGATTTGTGTGTGCATGTGTGTGTTCTTAGGAAGGTCTTTTTGGTTCATTTGTTCATGGGTGACCCCCTCCCTCCTCTCCCCAAATTCAAAATCTTCAGAAGAAAAAAAATAGCATTCATCTTTTCATTGCAAGGCAGCCTTACTACTATCAACCTCTGTTGATCTCTGTAAGAGGATCTCAGTGACTAGATTGGGTTTCTGTGCAGTGCTCCCATCACTAGGTCTGTCTTCGATCCATGTCGAGCTCTTCCAGTTGTAACTCAAATGCTGTAGAAATCCATTCCTTGTCATCCAAAATAGTTCCGCACACAGAAAACTGATGTGGTTTCATGAGATTTCTCAGGAATGTACAGATATATTGAAGAGCACGTATCCATTCATTAACCAGTTTTTAGTCATATGTTTTTTTTCTTTTTTAAACCACTCTGGGTAGATCATACACATTTTCTCATGTGTGATTCTGCCTTAGGATTTGGTGGAGGACAGTGAGAAAAATGTAAGCTTCAGCTGAGAAATAATTTCCTTTCACAAAAATGGCAAAACCAGCTGTGACTAACTCTGATCTCTACCTATAAACAGTTTTGGAGGCAAGCATCCAAAATGCAATAGCGTATGGATTTGTGCTCTGGGACTGTCAATGGATGTCATAAGGGTCCCAGCACTAAGGGTTTGTAGAGGATTTGGAATTTTCTGGAGTAGTTTCAAGAAAATGACAGGCATTTAAGACAGGATATAGTATACATTTTATCTCTTAATTAACGTGGGATCATAGTCATTGGAGATAGGTAAGAGCATGAAATGCAGAAACACAGACAACTCATGTTCTTACTCCTGACCCAAATGTGTTTGTTTGCAATGTGATTTAGTGGCACACAGAACACATGAACCTTTAAAAAATAACAAAGTAAAAAGTACCTTACTTTAAAAAGTGAGGTACTTAAAAACTTACCTCCAAATACTGCTGAAACATCATGAGTTCAAACTAAGTCTTTATCGAAACAGAAACTGAAATGGAATCAAAACTAACATACAAATTTCTCATCTCGATGGTTTTAAGCACACTGTGAATTTAGTGGATATGCATTATACAGTGAAGGTGTAAGTAACTTAAAAGCTACTGTTTTCAGGAATAGAGAATCTCAGTGAAATCATATTGTTTCAAGGAAAGATTTTGTATTTTTTTTTGCACAAGTGCATTCCCCTTTATGGTTGAGGGGAATTGTACCTGAACAAAAAGCCTAAGAGCAAGCTTTTGTCTTTGGTTCTATTGCAAGTCATCTCTCCAAATCCAGAAATCTCCTCTGTCAAAGTCTGCTTGTACAAAGCCCGCCCTAAATTCCCTGCTTTTCAGTACAGGGAAATAGGCATTTTTAGCATGCAATTAATTACATCCTAAAGCAGACACCTAAACCAGTTCAGATTAACACTCCATACAGTTACCTAGGTCTCTGCTGTGACTGTACAAGGAGCAGGACCTGACAGGCTCAGAAATAAATGTCTAAAACAAGCAGTGTCTTAATATTAGGATATTCCTAATGAGAGGAATTCCATTGCATGTGGCTGGAGGCTGGTTACGTGTTCTTTTGGTTCTGTACCCTGCGAGACCAGCTCAAGAGTTCCCAGGCATTGCTAACATCAGCAAATCCATTTTTACTCTCTGTTGGTATCACTTCACTGGAAATACTCCAGCTTGGCACTGCTGTAAGGGAAATATGAATTAGGCCCATTCATCTCTTTATTGGCGCAGGGCTTGCAAGACTGGATCTTCGATGTGTTTATGTTACAACTGTGTTGTTGCATAACTTCAGACCAGGAAGCCTTTTTGACCTGTTAATTCTTACGCCATAGTTTTATATTCTGCAGATTTAATTTTATAAAGTGGGGAACATTTTGGCTTCAATCCAGCAAAATGCTTAAACAAGTACTGAACTTATTCCTATGGGTATTTCCATGAAATTGCTGTTCTTGGCATTTTTGCATGGCAGGCAGACTATTTAAGGGGAAATTTCTGAGCAGCTGAGGCAGAGGCAGGTTGCTTTGGGGAAGCAAGGGGGAGGTCACAGCACTCTCGAGAGGCCCCAAGATCCCTGGAGGGTGAGACCTCTGATGCCGGTGAAAAGCTATTTGTACTGCTTCTGTATGAAAGATGCAGATAGCCCAAATGCCAAATTCACACAGAATTCAAACTAGCTAAACAGTCTGGTGTGGAAAGTGCGGCTTGGACATCCAGGAGAAACCCCTCAGGGGGTTTCTGCTTTTGTTTCCAGTGCTGAGTGAATACAGGAGGGAAAACTTGCCTCTGGCACTATGGTACTTCCAGTTGTCTTCCTGCCTGCAACCTGTTAGTTCAGTCTTGTATAAAACAAAAAGCTAAGGAGTGACGAGACCCTTTCAGAATGTCCAAGAGGTATGGTTTGGTGTCGGTCCTCAAAACCTGTGAAACTTCAGTTTTGGGTTGAATCTGAAAGCGGTTCTTAATTAATTCCTTGCAAAAATGACCTATATTTACCATATTAATATTTCCAAAAGAAATCTAGCTGTTGTTGCCACTGAACTGGCAGCCCAGCTGTGAATTGGAAAACTTAGATTTGAATTCTGTATCTGTCCAACCACCTCATGCATTCCAGTACAGACCATAAGAATCAGCATCAGAGGAGGCAGATAGTACCAGTGTGTTGTGGTTTAACCCCAGCCAGCAACTAAGCACCACGCAGCCGCTCACTCACTCCCCCCCCATCCAGTGGGATGGGGGAGAAAATCAGGAAAAGAAGTAAAACTCCTGGGTTGAGATAAGAACGATTTAATAGAACAGAAAAGAAGAGACTAATAATGATAATGATAACACTAATAAAATGACAACAGTAGTAATAAAAGGATTGAAATGTACAAATGATGCGCAGGGCAATTGCTCACCACCCGCCGACCGACACCCAGCCAGTCCCCAAGCGGCGAAAACCCCGCCCCCCACTTCCCAGTTCCTAAACTGGATGGGACGTCACATGGTATGGAATACACTGTTGTCCAGTTTGGGTCAGGTGCCCTGGCTGGGCATGAGAAGCTTAAAAATCCTTGACTATAGACGAAACACTACTGAGCAACAACTGAAAACATCAGTGTTATCAACATTCTTCACATACTGAACTCAAAACATAGCACTGTACCAGCTACTAGGAAGACAGCTAACTACATCCCAGCTGAAACCAGGACACAGTGCTTTGAAACCAGGGACATTTACAATAGGTGCCTTGAGGATGACGGGGATAACCCATCCTCTTCATGGGTTAACTGAGAGCAGCACTGACACCCAAAGAAAATAAGGCATCCAGGGTGGATGGTGGGTGTGGGCTGAGGAGCGTTGCACACTAGACTCACTCTGACTTTTCTCCTTTGGCAGTGCAAGGCTCAAGAGCAACAGCAAGCAAGTGTGCATTGATCCCAAGTTAAAGTGGATCCAGGAATATCTGGAGAAAGCTTTAAACAAGTAAGGCAAGAGACAAATGGACTTAACAGCTAACATCCCAAGTTATTAAAGGGTAGAACGTTAAGGGCTGGCTTTTACCATGTGGACAAAGCACTCGTGGAATCAGATATTGTTTTGAAGATGGGTTTGGAGTTGACCTAGTCTGTATAAAAACGACAGCTTCTAGTATATCCTAAATGTTAATCTAAGAATTTTGCCAGGGTTTGAGGCAAAACCTATCCTAATGAATCTGTTCTGGGGTCCCCAACTCATCCTCTTTTAAAAAAAGCCGTTCTCCCAAGGAAAATGCTTCCTTTATGTCCCCCCTTCCCCAAGCCAAACTACTTACTTCAGAATCTATATCGTTCCAGTTTCTTTGAAGCCCCTTCTCCATGTTACACTGGGGGTCTGTTTGCACAGGCAGCTGAGGCCTAGGGGGTCTTGGTGCTAAAAATTGTTTCTCTGCTGGCCAGTGTGGAGCGCTATTAATATCGGCCAAGGCAAGGTGCGCTGCCATGAATAAGGGTCTCCCAGAAGGCCAGAGGAACACCAGCCATACTTGGCAAATTCAGACTTTTAAAATCTATTTTTATTCCCCTTGAAAGTGGGTGATCATGGCTACTCTGAGGTGGACCCAACCTATCTCAGTTCAATTTTACCATGAGCAAGAGCAGCACAGAGAACATTTCTGTGTTGAGTTGCAGGGGAGGGCTCCAGCCTTCCTGGGATGGAAGATGAGACAAGTGATGGTACAAAGCATTTCCTTGCTTGCCCAGAGCCCTGGGCTGCAGTTGATCCAGCAGCGGCATTTTGGCCAACAAGCCTACCTGTGCACTCAGTATCCCTCCCACCCTTGCCACCACATTCCCACCCCTCAGTAACTGGCTGTAACCGTACTGAACCTTGCCCCCCCCTGCATCTGTAGGGTAAAGGCAGGGCTGGAATCCAGTCATTTGCAAAAGCAATGCATTCTTGGAGAAGGGTGGAGAAGGGTATGGCCCAGGGGCAGATGTGAGGCAGTATGGGTAGCTGAATGCCCTCCGCTGTTTGCTTTGTAAACGCATCTGCCAAACAAGAGGTAGAGTTAAAAAAAAAATAGTCATCTTTGTTCCCTTGTGTTTTTACAATAAGCAAGGGGAAAAATGCTACCAGAAGTAGAGAGATTCCTCCCTGTGTTCCTTTTGGGACCACACTGGGGCCAAGAGTGAGGAGGAGGAGGGAAGGGAGCCAGCTAAGAAACTGACTTTGATTCCAGCCCTGACAGCTCTTCCCATCTCATCCGATGCTCAGTGCCTTCTTGCTGCCAGCACTCAGCCCTCTTGTCCTTTGGGCAAATTCTCTGTAGAGGTAATCCAGGTTAACGCTGCCAGGATGACTTTGGATTTAGGGACAACTGAACCTAGGAGCAGGATGTGGCCCATGCTGTCTAGGGGCTCCAGCTACTTTGTTTTCCAACTTGGGAAAATCTTCAAGCCCCTGCCTAAGTTTCTGTTTGCTGTCATCCCCAATGAAGCCCTTGGTGCTGTTCGTAAGACCTGAAACTTAGGCGGCACTTAAGAAGTAGGGTTGGGCAAATGTGATTATGTGCTCAGGTCCTGCCTGTCTGCCTTAGGGGAACAACTCATCTGGAACATGTTCTGCTCTCACTTCCACTAGTGAAGATCTGGGGCCAGCTCTACTGAAACCAGTGAGCCTGTGCCTGATCTCCACCCAGATTCTGGGTTTTGTTTACCTAACACTAATCCAGAAGCAATTCTGCTAATTTGGTGGATTTCATCCTGGTTTACATTGAGTAACAGAAGAGAATTTGGTCCCAGCTCTATGAAATAAGATGACAGAAAGCATATATCTCCATCACCTAATCCTGTAATCATGGCTTGTTTTCATTTTCCAACTAGTAATGCTAGCACCAGTGGCATTTTCACGCTCTGCAGACAGTCAGAGCTCTGTCTGTAGCATTTTCACAAGGCATGTTTTTGATATATTTTAGTGCACAGCTTTGACTTCTTCAATGAAATGTACTTTGGAATATATTTATAGCGCATCAAACAATTCATATATTTGAATTGGAGCCATATGAATGTTGGTAGTTTAAAACACCGATATCCCTCTAAACTACTAACAGCTTGTAAAATAAATCTATATAGATCTATAAATGTTAATGTAGCTATCAATTTCAATCAGCCATATATTATATTTTTTCACTTGTACTGAAATTGTATGAAATGTGACATTACCCTATATGCACTAGCAATAAAATGGCTAATTGTTTCATGTTATGAAAACCCAATTGTACATGGGAATTTATTTTTCTGGAATAAAATCAATACGTTTTTTAGAAAGGGCTCTTGTAATTGCTTAAGTAAAATCCAAACTGTCAAGTCATCTTGATCTATACCAGTGCTTCAATACGAGAGTATCTTCTGTGTTATGATCTGCAGCTAAGGACAAGGAAAAGTTCATAGAATATAGTAGTCCAATACAGTTGATTGTGAAACCAGAGATGGTTTTTGGTAGGGAATTATTCTGCTCACTAATTCTGCTTAGTCTTTATTATTGCTTTATATTCATCACATCTCCATGTAATAGACACTTATGGGACATCGGTAAAATACATTCAGGCTGTCAGGAATCCAAATTCCTTAACTGGCTTTAAAAATCATTGTGCAGCTGCTGTGGCCACCATCATTCAACATTCATCCATTTTATAGACAAGGGGCAAATCAGTCCTTTCTTGAAATAGCTAACAAATCCTTTATCGCTTCCAGGCAATTCCAGTCATCATTTACAGCACATTGACTGCCTTTCCCTTCTCCCTTCACACAAGGATATGCAAAATCAGGCCCTTGCGGAGTTAACAGAGCCCAAAATAAACAGAGACCAGCTTGTCCACTGTCATGTTAACCTAGTCCTACCTCAGAACTTCCCTCAGTCTGAGATGCTGGAGTCCATTAAGCTCAGCGGCTACTGCTGGCACAGACGAGAGAGCTGATGGATCTGGAGAAGATAACAAAGTCAAATAGGAAAAACCTTTCCCTTGAGCCCCCTGGGAGAAAGGAGGGGAAACTCCCAACTTCTAGGGGCTGGCTGTGATGGGAGCCAAACCCTGCTGCTGTCTTCCTACATGGTGTTTGTAAACCCCGGTGTGGCAGCTCTTCCTAATTTCTGACCTCATTTGCAATAAGGGCTGAAGTACAAGACGCTAGAACAACTACCTCCCGGCACTCCACTGTGCCGGGTGAATGCCCCACATGGTGGGGGATGATGTAGGCGGCTATCTTTACAGCCTTGCTTTAAGGCACCGAATGCCCACAAATCCCGTAGAGTAGCTGCTGGTTCTTGTTGATGTCAGTGGGAATGCTGGGTGGGAAGCCAGAAATCCAGCCCCCCTCTGCTCTGCTTTCATTGTACCTCAGTGGCTACCATGTGGATGGTGAGGCTCCTGGCTGACAAGTTCTGGCAGGTGTTTAGGGGGGGCTTTGGTGTTTTGGGAGAAAGAATTGTTCTGACCTCAGAATTTGCAAATGTCCTGTCACCAGGGCACTTTCATTTGCCTAGCATTCCTCTGAGGCAGAGGGTATATGAAAGGGGATGTTATCATCATTTGCACCCTGCCAGCAAAATGTGAAGGGACCATAGGATAAATGTGAATAAGGCCTTTGTATATGGATAATTTATGGCAGTCTTTTTGTATTTTTCTTTTAATTTAGACCACGTCATCGCACTCATAAAAAAAAGCAACAGAAGAAACGGGGCCCACTCTGCCCTTCCCGTGCAACATCAGTAAAGTCTCCAGGGAGAAAGAATGGTAGGAGGCATTAGTTTCTGAGCTGGGATACCTCAGGTTCAAGTCCCTGCTCTTCCACTGACCATCCTATGTGACCTTGGGCAAATATATTAGCCTATCCAGACCTCCATTTTTTTTCCCATATTTGTTGAGGGTAACATCTGTACCTTCCCTGCAAAGGAGTATTATATAGAAAAAAACTCTTCAAACAGGGGGAAAGTTCAGCCACAACAGAGGTGGGAAAATTTTGCCATTGTAGAAAATGGACACCCAAAGAGGCCAAAAGAACCCTGAAGCAAAGCCAAAGTAAAAAACAGGGTAAAGGTTTGGAAGCCCTATTTCTTTTGGCTGGCCATATTCCTCCAATACCAAACTGACAGAGTTAAACTATAAATAAAGCTGTGAATTTGTCACTGGTGGTTTTTAACAACACATGCAGCACTGGGTGGTGACAACATAATTTGGTGCATTGGTGACTGGTTGACACCTCTCCTATGGGAGATGCTAGGCAAGTCCCAGAGAACCCTGTTACATATGTCAATGCTCTGGATGTCCCAGTTGTGTTTTTCCTACCAGGTGTGTCCTGCCTTTCTGCACCAAAAGAAGTAGGGTTACTAGTGTGGGATATTGGCAAAGATATCTTCAAAGAGGAAAATTTTGCTCATGGCTTAGTCATCCTCTCTATGCCTGGATGAGTTTTGCGAGGCTACCTTCACTGAGAGTAGTCACAACTGTCTCTGGCTGTGTCACACAGTCTTAGTTGTCCAGCAGACATTGAAAGGGATGTTTGTTCTGATCCTGTAGATGAGAAAAAACATCCTGGGACATCAGGGTTTTTGAATACCTGGTATTCACCCTCTGACACTTATAACTCAGCCTTCGTGACCTCGTCTAGCTTGCAAAAGGCCGATCAGCCTGGAGCAGGAGTCAGGGTCACTTCAGACAAAACCTGGAGGCCACCAGCACAGATTGGCTCCTTGTTCTGAGTGAACCCTGCACACAATACCCTTACACTTTGCTGTGATGCCTAACCCACCACTCCCTCTGGGTACCATCCTCAACACTGAGCATGGGAGACTCAATTTGTCTGCCTCCTACCCTGAGATCCCTACCCCTGCACTTAACGCCTCACACATCTACTGTGCAGCATGTGGGTGCTCGCCCTCCCCGTCGTGCCACCTTCACTGGGCAGCTGGTCACCACAAGCTGTGACGTGCTACCCAACTGCTCACGGCAGGTGAGGTCCCAGAGCTGGGAGGCCATGGGGATGGGTCCTGGCTGGGCAGCACACTTGGAGACCTCTGCTCTCCAGCCACACCACGGTGGGAGCTGAACACCAAGTGCAGAGCATGGGCTGTCCTCTGTGTTCCTCCATCCTCACAGAGACCTGGCACCCTGTGGAGCTGCAGTCCATGATCTCCAGCAGAGCTGTGGGGTAGGGGCAGGTAGAAGAGGTATTCCCAGTGCCACTTGCTGCACTACTGGGGCTGCTCACAAATGATTAATCCCTCCTTTCCCTGGTTTTTTTTTGGTTGTTTTTTTTTTTTTCCCTGAGTCTCTTTGCCCACTGATAATTCTCTGCTCTGGCTTTCAAGTCCAGAATAAGCTTCTTTGCCAACCTTCCTCCTATGTTAGCTCTGAACACCTTACTAACTGTGATGAGCACAACCTGCCCAAAATAACTCCCATTGCTGGGTTTGCCCTGCTGGGACCCAGTAGCTCCTTGTGGAGAACTTCCCCCAAAATGTTTGCCAAATACTAGTTGGAGGGGCTGCAAAAGAAATGCTTTTGGGTTAGCCCAGATGCAGATTTGCTATTTGACTAGGCCTGATATCAAAGCTTTTGCAACTGAAACAAACCTTAATAGTGTTTCACTCTGTTCTTCATCAACAGGAGGTTCAAGATGTAAGAGGCAAGCATTGTAAGCCGTCTACAGGATTTCTTACTGTAGGACCCAGAGAGCAGATAACCAGTATTAGGGAATGAATACATTTCACTGTTATCATGCAGCACAAAAGCAACGCTTCATGCATTTCCAAAGGTTTTTTTTTGTTTCGGATTTTGTTGTGGGGTTGGGTTTTGTTTTTGGTTTTTTTTGCACAAATTGGCTTGCTTTCACAGTGCTATTTTTATATAGTAAGATGTAACTATTTGAGAAAAATATGTTTTTATACAGGTTGGTTTATTACCTAGCACTGAGGGCAGATATGAATTTAAACTAACCCTATGTTATTATATAATATTTTACTTCCTTTGTTATGTAGAGGTCCTGCTTTATTTAACTTTCTTTTGGTTCATGCAAGTCTCCTGGAGTTTTAAACTTAGAAGGACATGAACTGTACAGTGCAATGATCTTGTGTAAGTAGTGGAGGAACTCCTTGCCTCCAGAAGTCATCGAGGCCAAGAACATAGGAAGGCTAAAAAGCATCAGACATTGATGAAAGTGAACAGCATTACCATGGGTGGCACTTATAGGTATTCTGGGTGAGGGATTAAACTCAGGGCTACAGGGCTAAAACTCTTCGCTGAGCTTTGGTGAAAGCTGCGAGCAGCTGGGTCAATGCACATCTGGTATTGCAAGGTGCTAGTACTTGGTTTGTAGTAGTTGTGTGTGTTAGGAGCCACAACACTTATTTGATGTCACCTGGCATTTCCTATGTTCCTGTGTTTCTGATGACAAATTTTAGCACAAAAAGGAATGGGTTATTAAAGGTCTAACCACACAATCATGTTGCAAGTTGCTGGAGGAGTCAGATATGCTGCCACGCAGGTGTCTCTTCCCACCCATCCACAGGAGATGGCTTCAGCTCGCCTGCCTTGCTTTGCACTGAAGTAGGCGGAGATGCATTCAGTGAGCCTTCACCAGCGATGCTGTAGCCTCAGCTACTGAATGGTCACATGTACCTGAGGGCAGTAACATCTTTGATTGCTCCGGAGATACCTAGAAGAGGATGTCTGGCCATATCTTTGGAGAAAAGAGATGCCTGGGGCAAGAGAGGGTCTGCCCAGTTTGCTGAAGGAGTGGTGTTTCTCAGGTGTGGAAATGAAGGCCAACACTCACTGTTCATCAGCTGTCATGGCCCTGTTTGCTGGTGAACAGGATAGCCTCTGGAATTTCCTTTGCAAAGTACACCCGGGGACAGGTACCACTTCTTGCACCAATCACCTCTCTCAGCCAGAAATTTCTTTCTCCCGATTCTTACCTGTATACACAATATCTTTGCTATATAGTCTATGGAAAGACACCTGCAGTACTGTAATAATCATGGTATGCTGGGCACTGGGATCCGGGGGGAAGCGTATTTGTGCAGCACAATGCTTGTGTTTGTATGTATCTGTGTATGTATTGTAAACAAAAAAATGTTTTAAGATTGTATTTTTTTTTTGATTGGGTTTCTTCAAAAGGAATCTTCCCTGCAGCCTGCGCTGGGAACACTGAAAGGGGTGTTTCACTAAGCACTCCTTTTTGTGGCAGGCATCTTTAGTGCCAAAGAGGCACTCTGGCTAGTCAGGGACTAGCTTATTTCCATGTGGATTCAGGTAAAAATCTTCTAAGTATTTTCCTTTCTGTGAAATAGTGCTATTATGGAGAGTGCATCAATTGGGACCATACCATCTCATTTGCTTTAAAGTAGAAACCAACTGCTGTGCCTAAAATGTCTGTGTGTGATTTTGACATTCCTTCTATTGTTATCATTACCAGCCTGGTGCTTTAAGTAGATTGTGTCTCTGTTTTGAAAGGTCTGGTACCACTGTACTTGATGAGAATTGGAGTGTTGATTTAATGTGAGTAGGATCAGATCCTCTCTTGTAAGGGTAAAGACAGAAATAACTTTTATGAGAAAACTAGAGTTTCTTGTATCTTCCCTGGACTGTTCTTTATATCCTAGGTTCCATCTCCTGTCCCCACACATGCACCTGCAATTGCTAGTGGTTTGCCAGAGGCAGACATATGAGTGTCAAAGGCAGGAATGACTATGGGGAAAGTGTGGAAGAATCTTGGTTCTGACACAGACAGAGCTTGTCCTTCTCGCCCAGGAAGGGGCATTGTTCACACATGCTTCCCATCAAAGGATAGCTTGAGGTCTGATTGATTGCCACTGGAGTAAACAGAGAATTAAATAATCTCTGATTTTGATTCAACAGCATACCTTGCTAATGATGATAGGGGCCATGAAGATTTTGTTTCTAGGGGAAACATTGGCTTTCCAGTGAAAAGATGGGGTAGGTAGGTGTGACTGTACAGCCTTGCCAGCGCTCTGCTGCAGTCCTCTTTAACAGGGAGCATCTGGGCTTAGCACCTGCGGGGAGAGGTCTCTGGGCACATGCCACCCCCACATTGCAGCCTGGGCAAACAGACTACTTCGACAAGCATTGAGATGGGCAGTGTCAGAGCACCTGGTCCAAACCCTGGGGTTCCAGCTCTGCACAGTAAAGCCAAGTAGCGGAGGTACTGCGGGAAATGGGATCACCTGTCAACCTTCTCTTTTGGGGGCAAACTAGTGAGTGTTGCAGGTCTGGACTGTGCTAAAGGAAGGGCATTTGCTCCTGCGGGAAATGCATGAGTAGCAGCAGGAAGGAAAGGGACTCCCTGCAAGGCTAGAGAACATTTATGGCCAGGTGACGGTTGGCCAGGTGATGGTTGTCTGGGTGCCCTGTGGGCTGTCTGCCTCTGGCATTTCTTGAGACTCACGCTGTGACCTGAGCCCTGACACTGCTGCGCTGGTGATGATTCACTACTCAAGTAGCTGAGACCACTCAGGGCATGGGGCTGCTCTCAGGGGCCAGCACTATGGCCCTCCCTTGCCTGGGCAGGGTTGAGCACGGTGTGAATGCAGGGGTGGCGCAGACCTGGCCAGGAGTAACCGAAGACTTAAGTGAGAACCTGATAAAAGCTTTCTCTTGCTTTAGACCAAAATTCAACCCTGAGTGGGAAGCTTTGCTCTTTGCCTGACATTATTTACATGATGCATTTGGAAAAGCAGCTGTGCCCTTCACACTAGAGAAATCAATCACTCAGCTGCCCCAAGCTCCCTGTGCTATCCTGTGCATTGCACGCTGCTCCTCTTATGCACACCACGGTCTTAGCAGGCTGAGAAGCCACACTAGCAAAAACCCGCTTGGGGAGAGCACTTGATTTTCCTTTCTGCCTTTAACTGTTGACCAAAGACCGAATCAGGGAAAGGAAGAGTGGGGAGATGGGAGTGGTGTAGGGACAACAGGTGAAGAAGAGGAGGGGAACTGAACTGGTGCTGAAAAAGCAGCTTCCATAAATGTGAAACCATCATGTGTGGTATTTTCAAAGTGCAGCTGTCGAATCCTAAGGTTGGATTATTTTTTTTTTAAGAATAGATGGTATTTATTGCTGTGCCAATTTTTTATTTATACTAGCTTTCTACTTGTATGTATGAATATCTTATCTGAATTCTGCCTGAGGAAGGATGAAGGCTGGCTTTCTGATGTGTTTTTAACTAAGGTGTTTGAGCAAAGGTGACTGTTCATTTTGCAATGAAGGCTATGTTCGAAGTTAAATATACACATTACCTTGAAAATGCAGTTCCTATAGAAGTTTTTGTTGCTGTTTTCCCTTTGTAGCATCTAGAGGGTTCTTCTTTTCTCTGGCAACTTGTTTTCAGTGACGTGATTTACAGTAACCAGGGGTTTGTGAGAACTCATCACCTAAAATCTGAATTTTTTTCTTTATCAACATCCCGCCAAGACAAGCCTTGTCTGCGAACATGAAACTCTGATGGCCACAGAGAAGAAAACATGTATCATGATGAAAGGACTGCATGAACCTCCCATATTCCACTCCTTAAGAACTCAGTGTTGTCAGAATGTGGTAAATACTGTACTTTATATTTTTTTTAAGTAAAAAGAAATATCTTCCCAAATAATGTGAAAAGGGTTTTGTATTTGTGTTCCTGTAAGGCAGCTTTTATGGAGGAGTTATATTACACTTTTGAAATTACTCCTTTCACAGAATATTTTGAAAATAAACACTTTTATATTGTAATTTCTCCCATAAATATGTATGCACTTAAAATTTTCTTAATAAAAATGTCTATCTAAATGAAATTATTACTTGCTTCTAATTTTTTCCTCACATACAAACAGCAAAAAGCTTCACATCAGAAAAAAACATTCAGATGTAGTTTGTGTCCATTTCAAGGATGCTTCCATGCAGACCCATGGGCTCAGACTCTCTGCAGGGAACCTGAGGCAAGGTGGCCATGGGGTTTGGCAGGGAGCAGCAGCCTAGCAGATTGAAATGTGCCATCTTCCAAAGGAAAGGTTTAACCATTTGCTCCCTAAACAGAAGCCCAAACTTTTTTTTTTTTTAACTTCCCCCCCTCCCCCAAATTTGTGTTATGCAGCAGGTTGACTTCAGTAAAACTGAAAAATGTGAGCTCTTTTTGCTGCAAGAACAGGGATGCCATCGTCATCTGCGCTGGGGAAGGGATGGTATCAGGGGATGCATTTGACAAAAGAGCAGATGTTGTGAACAACACTCTCCTTGGGGCTGGTTTTCCCTGGGCACAGCAGAGTCAGCCTTCAGTTTGGAGGTGGGGAATGGTTTTAGAGGCTTTTAGGACTGGCCTGAGATCCTGGAGACATAATTCCAACTTGGATGATCTATAGGGAATTTGCTGTGAGTTTCAAAACCATGAGTTGAAAACTGGCTTTTGTCAGTGCCTTCCCCCACCTCTGAGTCCTCACGGCAGGGGGAAAGTGTTTCCTCAGGTCCCCCTGCTCCAATACGCCAGTTCTCCTCTGTCCATCCACTGCAACAACACAGGTGAATCCCAGCACCATGTACAACTCTGGAGAAAAGGTTAGGGATAATTTAATATCTCATAACAGTGAAACGGTGCTTGAGCCTTACCGAGCTTCTTATTCAATGAATATTTATTGGCCAAATTGGCGCAAGGCAAAAGACATGCAAAAAAGGGAAAAAGGAAACTCAGATGACTGATGATCCCTTTGCAAATCCAGCAATGATTTAGTAAGAGATTATGAAAAACTGAGCAGGTAATTGTGAGTGCAGATGGTCACTGAGAGATTCCCAGGCCACTGGGAAATGCATTGGGAGTAATTAGCTACAAAATTACACATTAATATTAAGGAAAGGCCCCATGTTCTGTGGAGCACTTTGCTGTGCCTTTCATCAGGCCTTTTCTCTTGAATGTGAAAGTTTTGGTTCTTGCTTCCTCAGCAAAGCATCATGGCAATGTATCCGCAAACTGCCTAGGAATTAGAAGTGAACCCACCTTATTAGCACATCTGGCTCTCTTCATAGGCAGCTTTCCAGTATTAGCAAGCTGAAGGAAATCAGCTGCATTCATGGCCTCAGCCATCCTGACACTGATTGTGGGCTGGATTTATTAGGCCCTGGTGTGGTATGGGTCAGAAGACAGCATGGGAAATGTCCCTGCTTCTTGGGACCAGCCGGGAATGTTACCACTGAGGATGTTACCTAGGAGCTGCTGTGATGATCCTACATGATGAGGGTCCTTCCTAGCTTCTGGTGAGCATCTC